ACTGATTTCTGGAAATTCTAAAAAACTTCATTTGAAAGAATAGGAAGTTTTACAAATGAACAGTAATTTTCTAAAATTCTAATAAATATACAATAAAGAAGACATTTTAATTAATAAATAACAATTTCGTATCGATTTTTTCACCTCTTTTCTTATTTCATTAGAATTAAAATTGATTTTATTAGTATATTTTATTAGTATTATTTATATAATAAATATCAAGTTATAAGCGTCTTTCATTACTTTTCACATTAAATAAATGCATTATTATTATATTTTAATCTTGCTGGTGTTTTCGCTTCAACGCTGCTTTTCTGGAGAAGAAGGTTAGCAAAGTAATGATCTTTCAATAATGTTCTCTAATGTATGGAGCGAGTTAAAAGTCCATTGCGCCTTTTTAATTTTAAAACTACTGAAGATACAGTAATTTCTTAATGTAATTACATAAAAATCATATAAGGAGCATCGGAAATCTACTAAACTTCAAATATAAAAAAGAATAATAAATATCATTATAACCAAAAAGGAGTCCTGAAAAATTTAAATTGCTTGGGGCCCTTTGAAGGTAAATCTGGCATGGTTGGCTGGACTTGTCAAATTCATCTAGTCAAGTACTCACGAACTAGGTGAGATATGCACACAAGTGTCTGTCTGCTGATTGTAGTTATGGACGATAAATTGATAACGAACTTTTCATTGATGAGGTGAAAAAGTATCCTGAAATGTGTAGTGTGTCCGCGGAATTATACTGGATAAAAACAAAAAGCAATCTGCCTGGATTTTAGTGCGCCGGGGGGCTAAGTGCTAAATAAGAAGACAGAAACAGAGAATAATATTTGTGTTTTCTGTTTCAGTACACTCACAGTACACCAACTGTAAGTAATTACAAATATAACGCGTACAGTAAAGTTAGAAATTGTTGCACAGTTATATAAAGTTTTATATAACATAATTAAATCATATGAAATTTTCTTGCCAAGGAGCTTGGCCAATGCAACTTTTGATATAATCCGCAAATCCATTCCTATTGGAATTTACACTGTGTACAGATGGAGTAATGTCTTAATGTCATCAGTAGACAAGTGTCCTCGAACAGCATCAGTTCTACTCGAAAATATGAAATTGTAAGGCGAGTAGTCTCGGCCTCCCGTTGGTGTCTTTTACAGTAAGGGCAATTAAGTTCAAATTCTCATATCTAGCAACATTGTCTTCAATTTAATATTTACTGTATACGCATAAGTATTAGAAAAAGAAGTTTTTTGACCATCAAAAACAACATGATTCATTTTCTTTAGTTAACTTTCCAACTTAATTTTATGTTAGCGCCTACCTAACGTGTAAAGGATCAAAATATTTATAAAGTTTTAAAAAGCTAGCAAAGGCTCTTGCACGACTTCCCCTATACTTGAACAGGATATTAAGGGTGTCTTTAGAAGGTATAATTTTCAATTATGCTAGGATCATGGGCATTCGCAAAAGGGCCAAACGGTGGCTCTTGTTCCTCCCAGGAATCGAGTAAAAAATTCCACAAATTACAATCGTAACAGTGATTGAAATATGTAACCTTACATTCGCGACCATGGGACGCTTTGTCCGTCTTTTTATTTCTATAATCTAATCATAAAAACTTTTAAAAGTTAAATATTTAAATAATAATTTATTGGTGTAATTATTTGTCTCCAAGCTTTACACCCCTGAAAAATTTTCTTTGGATGCTCATAATTAAGATACAAAATTTACGTAATAAGAAAAAGTTAAAAGAAGACATTTTGTTGAATGATGATAAAATCTTCATTTTTAAAAAATATTAATATTTAAGTTTAAAACACTATGATATCAGCTCAAAGTTAAAATTATGTGTAGGGCGATCTGTTATGAGATGTTATTAAAAATAACTTTTATATCATTATTAATTATTTAAAAAGTAGTAAAATTACAAAAAATCTTTTTAAAAAATTTGTACAAAGGGCTTCATCACATTTTAATTTAAAACAAATATTTTAAGGAATCATAAAATGTTTCACAGACTTTCACACAAGTTTGACAAAATGTTTGTCAAACTTTCACAGACAAAAGGTAAATAAAACTTAATTTTGAGAGTAGAGATAAGTTTTTAAAAATATTGTAAATATAAATAACGAGTAAAATTTTCAATAAGTTAAATCCCACTCGAAATACTACACATGATCCCCACTTCCCCACTCTTTTGACTTCCTTGCTCCAAAATTTAATAGCATCAATGCCCTTACATTATACAAGTTATCACGCCAAATTTCATTTCCTACTCTGTATCCCATGATAACATATTAAACGAAATAGACTCCAACACACGAATTTTTTTCTTTTGGGTTTTGCTTTTTTATAGTTCAGGGATTTTAAACACAATCGAGATTTGTAAAACACCCGGAGGGTCAAATTTGACACGATTACAATACTCTCCTGCGTTATGTTGTAACAACCGGGAAAGTATAATTGTAAATAACATCAACAGAATGGCGAAAAAGTTCTACGACTATTTCTGGCCAAAAATTTGTGTAAATCATTTGATTTAAAGCTATATTAATTTAGCATTGCTCCAATATATTATCTAGAATGTATTTCATTTGTGTTTGCCATAAGTTTTGATTATTGTGTTATTAATTCCCTATAAGAAAGTAATTAAAGTCAATGCCTTTTCAGAGCAGATGACACTTTAGTATTTTATGTTTCCTTTGATTAAGAGTGAAGGCTTTATTTGCCAGCAAAGATATTTATCAATGCTGTGTTTTGAATACCTTAATTTAACTTCCTTTATTTTTTAAACATATATTAATGCATTTTGAAGGTACAACAGAATTCCTGCATTGAAATAAAAAAAAAACATTGTAAACTTAGCTAGAGAAAATAAATCTTATTTCTTTCATGGTCAAAATAATTCTTTTTCTTGCAGTTATGCATACAAATACTGAGTTAGAGGCAATATTATCCCGATTTAAGCGCGATTAAGTCGATATTTACAGTGAATTTTTATATTTAAGTATATATTATACATAAGATTCGAGTTCAAACTCAATTTGATTGTTACCATACCCACTCTCGGTATGGTAATTCGGTAATTTCTAGGCCACTGACATCAAACCAACTTGCTATGATGGTTGCATCATAGCAAGTTGGCTTGTCAACTATTTTCTGTTTTCTGTGGCAGTTTTACAAAATATATCTAAGCATACAAAGCTCAAGATTGTTTATTTTTTCCTCTGTTTTTTTGTTTTTATATAGAAAACTCTTTATGATTTGGTAAGTAAAGACATTTAAGGTAGTTAAAAATTTTGTTTAATAAATATTTATTATATAAGTTGTTATAATGAGAAAAATGTTATGTATTTCTTGGATTTTATACATGATGGATATTGTATATGTCACTTACATATTAAGACTGTTATTTAATTTTTTATCATCAAGGATCAAATTACTATCAATCTCTATACTGTAATGAAGATCGTAATTTTTCTGTAAAATGTTTACTGTATTTTTCTCTCTATTTTAAATTTTAATTATTATTAGAGAGGTTTCTGTCGTCGTATTCAGCCCAAAACGTAAACGGCGGACAGTCCAGCGCCGCAATCCGGCAAGTCTGGAAGGTTGACAATGGCGTTCGCTACGTCTAGCATGGCGAGTAGACGATCGGCTTAAACTTTTTCATTTTTTTGTGTTTGAGGTTAAAATGATGACGTATTTTATAAAAATAATGATTATTTAAGCATTTATGAATAATATTGTAAAGAAACAGACGATTTTAATCCAGAAATTATTTAATTATTCAATTTTTTTGCAAGTGATGTGAAGTGACTATAGAATTTACATATATTTGTCTTCGTAATAACTTATAATTCTGTAGAAGTAGGTTTGTTCTTTCACAGCATCTTCTATCATCAAGAAAATAACACGTCAGTGAATTTTCTAAAATTAATTCCCCGAGCTGCTTTCGGATTTATATAAGCCACTACGTTCCTCAACAAAAGTATGAGGTAGTCCTATTGTCCTATAGTACGGTAGGAGACACGACGCTAATTAAAAATAATTATTAAGTATTACTAAACATCCTATAAATAATTTAAAATAGTTTAATTTGTTTATTTACCTTCGCTGGTAAATTTCGTCGTTGTTAAACGTTTCCGCCATTTTTCAATGATATCCCATGATTTAGTGCGTGACGTGAACGTATGGCGAAACGTGTTTTACTTGGAGTTTAAACGTCAAACGTGTACTTCTGCTAGTCGTAAAAGGATCCCTAGAATGATTGGCTGACACTTTAATCGCTTTGTCATCCGGCCGATCTTCTCTATTTTTTTGTTAGTTTTAAAACTTTCCTACAAAGGTTTGCAAAAGAAACTGGTTTGATTTAGTGAGATACGTCAATGCAACACTTAGGCGATCTGTCAAAGGGAAGGGTGGCTCCGAAATACTTTCTATAGGAAATTAGCCCTTATTTAGGTAGTAGAAACGTGAGAAAATCCGGAAAATACATGACTAACCCAGGCTCAAACTCTCAACCATCAGTGTTCAGTGTATATATACTCGATCACCGGACGAAAAAGAAACTGAATATATACATTTAATATTATAACATTATATAACTGTATGTATATATACAGTATATAATTTATAAATATATATGTAAATTATATATATATATATATATAAGTATAATGTATACTTATTACATATATATGTATAAGTATTATGTATACTTATTACTTATCATTACATTATACTTATAGATAATAATATATAAGTATAATGTAATGATAATCATTTTTTTTTTAAATCTCAAACGCGTAATAAATAAGATAAACGGCGATTTTTTAAGTTAATAAATTACTCAGACAGACTTATTTGTTATTTAATATTACCTTGAACAGTCATTACTTTGACAACTCATAGTTGTTAGGAATTAACATCTGAATAAAACATGTAGACGTATGATTTATTTAATGACAAAAAACATTGTATTTACACTTTGTACTTAACGAGTTGAAAGAAAACTTTCTGTTCAGTGATTACGACAATACCTTCTCTAACGTTGCTTGAAGTTACATCTGTGGAGTTTGGAGTTTAAAATGAAGATATTTATATTTATATTACTTGGAATTTTCTTATCAGTAGGTAAGTATCTCGTTTATATATATATATACATATATTCATATTTAATACATTTATAAACTCGTTCAATATATTTAAGAATTTAAGACACGTTTTCCTTGAAGTAAAGTGTATTAAATTATGTTGCTTTTTTATATTCTTCATTACTTTCCGAGGTCTCAATCGCTCGTTAGATTGATATTTAAATATTTTTACATAAATTTATATAATATTTATGTAATTATGAATTTTATTCATCAGCATAAAATATAATTAAATAAATTTTTATGTTTGTGCCAATAGTTTATGTGTACTAAATTTATTTTGTTGGTAATTATTGCATTATTATTTATATTAAAGGAACAAAAAGTCCGAATAACAGATGCGAAATAGAAATTATAGGAAATTGTGTGCTGCAAATAAGTCAATTTGCTAGAGAATTCGGTAACATTTTTCCTGGTAATGAAATAGAGTTGACTAGACAATGCCAGTAAGACTTTTTTAAAAATTATTTACGCATAATTATTCAGAAATTTTACGCGCTTTCAAATTTATATAGAATATTTCAAGAGGTGAGGAGTTGCATATACAATTATAGCCGTAAATGCGTGACTTCTACAGATAAAGCAATCCATCACTTCAGTTACAATAGAACCGCAGAGAAAATGAAAGAGTTTTGCAATCCAAGTAAACAGCTTTACAAAGGTAAGAAATTCTATGTAATTTTTACTAAACAAAATAATATTATTTAAATTTATAAGAATAGCAATAAAAATAACTATATTTTTAGATTATTTGGAAAAAGCTTCGTGTATAAAACAAAATTACAGGGATGTAACGTCGTGTTTCAAAGATAATTTATCATCCTTACTTCTTATATTTCAAGATTATTCTAAAGACAAGGCAGAAATATTTTGCTGGTAAGTGTAGATGTACTATAAATTTTCATTTATACATTTTTTAATTTAATTTAATTTTGTTTTAAAGTGCTTTGAATAATTTAAGAAGATGTATCTTAACTCTGTACGAAAGTAAATGCGGCGCCAAAGTTACACCTTTGATGAAGTTGCAGATAGAATTCCTTTATTCAGAATGGATTATCGAAATGTGTAATCCATATTTTCATTTGAAAGACGATTGTATGCTTAAATCCGATGAAATTAATTTGAGTGAAATAAGCAGTTTTGAATATCTCAAAAAATACTTTGTTCCTGTTTCTAAATCTTAAAAACTACTTGATGATTTAATTGTTTACACAGTAGACACTCGTTAATTCGAACTCAGAGGGACGGTCTAAATAGTTCGAATAAACAAGAGGCGGAACAACCGAGTTCGAATTAAGAGGAGATTCGAATTATCTGAGTTCGAATTAACGAGAGTCTACTATATTATCTAAAATATATTAATATTTTTATATAGTTTCTTTAATATTAATAAACACTGATAAAAATCAGTATGCAATGTACTAAATAATAGTATACTTCTTATATTTCAAGCATGCTGTTCCTAGCTGCAAAACATTTGTTTGAAAATATGTTTTGTGCAAGTCATAGACTATAAACAACAAAATAGTGTTGTTTTAACGAGCTAGTAATATTTGTATATTCAATTAAATTTATGCTTTTCATAAAAATCTAAATAATTAAGACTTTTTTAAATAAATACGTAAGGAAAAGAAAACATCCATTTTTAATATTTGTAATGGTAATCTTAATAACAATCTATAGAAAAACGTGAAACTTTCTTTTAACTTTGCCAATATTTATATAGTGATCTCAATAGATCATTTCTGAAAATTATGAATAATGTAGAATAGTGATATGCAGTGAAAACTGTAACAACGGACACTGGCGGAAACATAAAAAATGTCCGTCGTTTGAAGGTCATTTTGTATACATTTTCATTAAAAACGAAAATTTCCTGAAAAATGGCAACTGTTTCGAAACAGCTGTTGTTGAGAGGTGGCCCTTATTAGAGGTTCTGTTGTAATATATATAAATTTTCAGTTATTATTAATTGTAAACTTTATGTTTAAAAAAAATTTGCAACAATGTTTTAAAATTAATTTTTCGTTTAATTCATTCGATAAATAATTTATTACGCATCTTTATTACAGATAATATAAATATATACCGCATTTCTTCGATTTTAACACGCATTCTAATTTCAAAATAGCATTTTATGATTTTCTATAAACGTACAAAAGAAAATTAAATAATCAATTTAATTAAATTTTGTTAATAACAACAAGTTAAAAAAGTCCAGCAACGAGTTACGTAACTTTCTCGGCAACAACATTTAAAATTGCGTGTGGCGCTAATCTGTTATGATAGTTTATTTTAAAAGCTTGTTATATATTTAATTATTATAAAATGGCAAAAAGCTTAATTTTCAGGGTATGTATGGATTTTATAAAAAATTGTAAATGCTAATAACGAGTAAAATCGTCATAAGTCCGGCCCTATTCGAGATATACACGATCCCATTATTTCCCCACCCCTTCGACCTTTAACCACCAAAATTTAATAGAAATGATGTTCATAATGCCCAAACCTTTCCGAAAAATATAAGAAATTTTCGACAAATGGTACAGGAGTTATTAAGCTTTAAAGTGAGTAAACAAAATCTGCCCCCTACACACATCCGCTAACATCCATATACTGTATACAGAAAAAAAATTCCAAATTTTTTGTATTTTTGGATGTTTTAAGGTTCCGAGTCCAAAACTGTAAAAGTCTTGGGGGGTAGTTTTTTTGACTGATCGCCATACTTTACATATATATAGTAAAGTATGGCGATCCGATGAAATTAATTTGAGTGAAATAAGCAGTTTTGACACATACTAACATCTATACATACAGAAATTCCATTTGAATGTTTTTGCATTTAACAGCTGGAAAAGTAAAAACAATGCCGTGAAACATATAATGTTTGACAGCGTTATCTCCATGCTTCTCTAAACATATAATAAGTATTGTTTTAATACTCGTCATAATGTCATATTGAATTTATGTAAGTGTTGTATAACTAAAACAGTCTTTTATTAATGCATAACGCATCATGATTGCTGATTGTTTTGTTGTAACGTGAATTTAAAACTCATATCTACTTCGGACAAGTAAAAATAGTTTTTAAAATATCTCTTAGAATTGAGGAAGTACGGTAATATTTTACATATTTCTACATTTTTTGAATAAAACCTTCTCTGAAGCAATCTTATGCTCATTCGTACGAATTAAAATGAGAACAAGAGGCAATAAAGTACAGTATATAGAACTATGCTTCCATTTATAACATAGAAATACCCTTTGGCTTTGGCTATTAACATATCTGTGTTAATTGCCAATTATATTTATATGTTTATTCCGAAAGAAGGTAAAAGGAACACTTACAAAGATTGAAGTGTCTGCTTGACATATCGAAGAACGTATAAAAATTAAAATGAAAAAAATTAAAAGTTTATACTTAATTAATTAATTAATTATTAAGCAGTTAAAGTAGAACAGAAAATAAGTGTAGAACGGCTTGCTCCTTCAATTTAACAATTATATAAGAATAATATACAGGCCCTATATATTTCAGTTTGCTTTAGGTATAGACCTATTGTACTTTTATACGTTGCAATAACCTACTATAAATTTTTTCTAATACGACATACAAAATATAAGATAAAGAAATTAAGTGCACATCATATATATCTCCATATTGAATTTCAAATAATTTTAATAAATTATAGAAAAAATAATAATAATATCTGCATTTAGGCTTATTGCGATTTAATTTATAATTGCTGTTATCATATTTTATTAAAAAAAAAACTTTTTATAAAATGGTAAAGATTTTAATTTTGAGGGTAGGAATGTTTTTTAAAAAATTGTAAATGCTAATAACGAGTAAAATCGTCATTAAGTCCGACCCTATTCGAGATACACAAGATCCCATTATTTCCCCACATTAACTACCAAAATTTAAAAGTATCAATTCCCCTAATGCCAAAACCTCACCTCAAAATTTCGGAAATTTTCGATAAAACACACAGGAGTTATTAAGATTCAAAGTGGGAGAAAAAAATCGTGCCACACAGATACACACATACACATATACCCTTCACACATACTAACATCTATACATACAGAAATTCCATTTGAATGTTTTTGCATTTTTTGACATGCCAAGGTCTTTTGAGTCAAAAAATGTAAAAATCTTGGAGAAGTCATTTTTTGACTGATAGCCATACTTTCTCTCTGTTATATGTAATAGCCAGGAAAACAAAAATTTAAATCTATGCAGAAAATCTACATATTAGCTGTTTATTATAAAAAAATTACAATAGTTACTTATATAAATTAAAATAGACAGAAATATATTACTAAAAATAATAATTTAATAAATATTAAAATAAAAAGTATTATTTTCTGAATAAAAAAGCAATCTTTATTCAAATATTCTTACTCTTTTTATTAAAAGTTATAGTTTGCAGGAATCAACCGTAACGAAATTTTATATCTAAAGATTATTAATATATTTAATTTATATTTTTTAATTACGTTTGTTTGCAGAACATGTCATACATAACTTTTTATGAGCAAATTTTTTACGGTAGAAGAAACAACATCAAAATTACTACGATAAAAATAATTGGATATAAGTAACAAAATTATATTTATCTCTATATCTATAGTTATAATTCCTATAAAACATTATAAATTATAAATAATTCAAGTTTTGTTTCAATTAATTAATGGAAATTAAAATTAACAAATTAATTAATAAATTTTTTATGACTTATCAACATTTTCAATCTCATATCTAATTGCATTCATGGTATACAGTAATACCCCGAACTTACGCGATAGGTGGGACCGAGCGATAACCGCGTAAGTCGAATTCGCGTAAGTCGGGGTATAATTTCGCAATTTTTGTTAAATCCAAGTCGGATGTATGTAAGCTAATAAACGTTCTCGTTAATCTTATCTCGTCTTTTGATTCGTTCACGGTTGCAAGAAATCACCACATAGAGTCTCTCAAGTCTCCGTAGATATAACAAACACAGAAATAAATAACACAAAATAAATTGTAGCTGTGTGTCGATTCTGCGCGGCACGTCCGAACATGTAAGCTGAACAATAGTGTGGGGTGAGTGAGTAATCAAGAGTTGCGTGGCGCTCAAACAAAAGACGATTCGACGAGATTTGAAAATCGCGTAACTCCGTGTTCGCGTAAGTCGGGGTAGCGTAAGTCGAGGTATTACTGTACAAAATTATTCGCATCGCTGGCGGTAATTATTGGTCGCATGATATCTTAGTACTGTAATTTTAAAGATTACAAAATTGTGAACCACATAGATAAGAAACTAATAGTCTATTAATTATACTATTGCACCTTTTCTTCTTTATTCAAATTATTATAACGCTATCTTTCAACTACTTTAACCTAAAATTTACAATGTGTTTAAAGATATGGTTACTTCGTAATTGTGTGCAGAGAGAATTAACCTCTCCGTATATCCATGATAAATGAAACGAAAGAAAGTTTTTTATAATGTGCAATTATCTATTGTGACGTCGTCATCACAATGCCGGGCTGCAATTTTTAAACATGTTTTTAATTTATTTAACTTAAAATGTATGCTCTCCACCTAAAATTAATAGTGGCTTGCCCCTGTATATCATACTTTTCCTTTAACAATAGAGTCGTGCTGGTCTTCTAGTAACTGTTTTCAGGAAAAAAACGTGAATTGAAATAACGTTACTTCTGGTTTGCCTCAAAAGTTCGTATATAGTTAAACTTGATCTTCTGACTCTAAGATTTGCATATCTGACTTCTTCTTTCATATATCTAACTCCGTTCTCGGGATTAAAGAAAGACATGTGGACGGACGGACGATATTTGTTGGGCATAAATTCCCAACAATTTAATCATCAAATATTTAGCGTATATTAGAGCATATACTGTATTCTATAAACTTTATTTAAAACATTCTTCCATAACTTTGACATAAATTGCAGTTCTTTATTTCCTATCAAGTGTAATAGATATACAGTAGAACCTCGATTATCCGGACTAATTGGGGATGAAGGTAGTCCGGATAAGAAAAAATCCGGATAATCGAAATAAATACTTTAATTTGTCTTTTAATAATAATACAACACGTTTTCTTTTCGATGACATGTCGGTAATATTAAAAGTAAATACTGTATTTAAATCGTTATCAAATTTTCAAGAAACAAACGTTCGTATTGAATTTGGACTACTACTGACCAACGCTAACAGACTACGTATTGTTTAAAAGGCCCTCTGGTGGCGCAAGAAGACGGATTTTATAAAATAAAAAGCAGTTGAAACTGCATTTTTATGAATAAAAATTTGACAAACAATTTATCGTTTTATGACGAGTAAAATTTTTTCGTCGCGTTCGCGGCTTTTAAGTAATGGATAAACCTTCGAAACGCGAGGCCCTTCGGACCGCGAGGCATAGGCGGTGGCCCACGTCGTCCATGCCTTACGCCACACTTGGTCATAGAAATGATGTAATTTGAATATAAATTATTTATAAATACGTATGTTAAGTTATATTTTTATTACTACGTAAAATATATTTAAGAGTTTACGACCACTGTGATGGGTGAGACGTTGTTGAAACAAAAAAAGTTATGCATTCCATCACGTACATAAACAGTGTCGTAATTCGCCAAGTGCAAATCAGCAAATTTGTAAAATTTTTGTTTATTTTGAACAATCCGGATAATCGAAAATCCGGATAATGGAGGTTCTACTGTACTTATTGGGCAGCAATAATATATCTACGTCAGTCCGTCTGTGTTTTTTAACAGCATATTTATTGTATAAGCAGAGTTAAATCATCAAAATTATTAATTTAAAAATATTATTGATTAGTTTAAAATTAAATATTTTGTTACCATTCAACAGTAATAAAGTAGACATAAAAAATGTAACTTAAATTTCATTTTTAAATCTTAATTTTACATAGAAAATTCTTATATCGGTTATAATTATTACTATATTATTATTCTTTATGCAAATATCGTTGGTTGTAAAGTTAGTATATAAGTAAATAACCTTTAAACATAGGAATTATTCGTAATTTGTCAGAAATTTATTTTCCATTGCTCACATATAACAGTGATTTTACTCATTGTGTGATATATTTTAGCACAGTCTGTATTTATTCCCAGTTATGTAAATACAGAGGAAGCCAGCGAATAGGTAAATGGGTCAATGTCCCTTACAGTATCTTGTTAGATGCGAGTGACTTGTTTCTGCTTTTGACAATTTCTCTGAAAACGAAATTGTTAACTTAGTTTAGACGTTTCTACATCGTTTGTTCCAATTATCTGCATTGTGACATTTGTCCAGCTTCCCTTTATAAGTGTATAACATATATTGAAGATAAAAGTTCACAAATATATAAAAATATAGCAAACAATTACAGAATAATAAATAGTAATATAAATAAAGTGAGCGGTGAGCTAAAGTATTATTTTATAATAGAGTCATTGCAGAATATTTTATGAGATAATTTGGCGAGATGAAGTAAGTCGGGGTATAATTTCGCAATTTTTGTAAAATCCAAGTCGGATGTATGTAAGCTAATAAACGTTCTCGTTAATCTTATCTCGTCTTTTGATTCGTTCACGGTTGCAAGAAATCACCACATAGAGTCTCTCAAGTCTCCGTAGATATAACAAACACAGAAATAAATAACACAAAATAAATTGTAGCTGTGTGTCGATTCNATCATTCTGTTGCCCTTCAATTATTTTACATAGTATCAATCAATTATTATAATATACTAGAAATTCTTCCGTCAAGCATGACGGAATATTTTTTATGAACAAGTAGAAATTGAAGAATTGAGAAGAGCTTCAAGTCTAGCTCGATGTTGTAATGCTTTTCCAGTAACACTTGTCAAAGCCATTCTTACTCGATGTTGTCCAATTCTCACTTCACGTTTCTTCTGGTTTCGGTTGTTCTTATTCTTTTACATTAGAATTTACCTAATCAATGTTACTCTTATGCTTTCTCCTAGGCAAATTCCTTGACGAGTATGAACGTCATGTAGTTACTATCGTCACTACAACAATAGTGCGATCATCGATCTGAAATCGATAAAACGTTTATTCTACAGCTAATATTTCCACAAAATAAATAGCCTATACTTTCAGTCAAAACATAAAATGAATATAACCAAAATTTCGTCTGGATTGGACAAAAATTGCAGGAATTATAATAAATTCACACATACAAACACACAACACAGATGACAGTTTTTATATTAGTAATAAGCTAATTATTATAATTCTTTAATAACGAAGTAAATATTTGCATTTTGTTTTTAAATGTAATTTAAAAATATAAATTCAGTTGACCAACTTAAATGTAATCATCATAGCGAGAGTGAATTAAAAAACGAGTTTCCTGTTTAGATACATTAAACTAATGCATATATCTGCATGCAAGAAAACAAGCAGAGAAAAATAGCTTTATAGTCATGACCAATATAATGAGACCTATTTTAACATAATAAATTTTCTCTTTCAACGATTGAAATAATTTAATAAAATATTTAATCTTTATTTTTAATTCTTCATATTTATCTTAGTGGCGCGTTATCCTATGATCAAAACAGGGCAATTGCCAGGGTCCCCTGTTAGTGAGAGCCCTAAACCAACCTTTTATAAGAAAATATTTCCCCAAAAAAGTTCCCTTGAACTGAAGTCAACACTGTACATGGACCTCAAAATAATTCAAATTTTCCTGGGCCCCATGAAACTATAACGCGCCACTTATTTATCTCTAGCTTATATATTTTAATTAGACTTTTCAGACTTTAATAATACTTTTCTATATTAAAAATTTGTCTTTAATATTTAGTTATTAAATATTTTAAAAATCTATTAATAATTGTAAAACATAAAATTATTACAATTCCGTTACTTTATTTAATCCTGTTATATTTCGCCTGCGTAAAGATTATGTACAATAGGGTACATACAAATATTAATGTATATCCTAATATTAAACCGGTGAGTCCTTAATAAAGAATTGCATGAGAAATCACCTTTAAAAATTCCGTTCAATGAACAGGGTATTTATTAGAAGATTTATACGTGCTAACTGAAAACATTATTTTTTATGCACCTGCCAGGAATACAAAGAAAATAAGTCGTTAACACTAACAATTTGATAAATCTATCTATTTATCACGTCAAAAAGTGTAGAAGGAAAGAAATTTCAACATTTCAATGTTCAATGTTCAATCAACAAAAAGATTTGAAAAAAGAGCGTACAAATATGGCTTCAGTTATAAATTCCTTAACAAGTTGAAATTATTTAGCAAAAGAAGGAATTTATTTATGTTATGTCCATTTAATACGATAAACATTTTTTTTTTTTTTGTATTGCTAATATTCGTTGTAATTCTTTTAACCGTTCGACCAATCAGAACGTAGAACGTTCTGCTTGATGTAAATATATGGTTACATATTCGAGATGAAGAGAGAGTACTCTGAAGTTATCCAAGTATAAACGATGTTTCTCCGCACAGATTTATGGAAGACTAGAGACTTATTTTTTCACTTACTCCATCCGTTTCGCTATTTGCTTATACTCTTAGCTATTGCCATAATTTTTCTTTTGATTATTTATATTTATCTCGGATTTAGTCGACGTCTTTACGATCGCCTACCCGGTGCTAACATCCATCCTCTCACCGAAATCATCGTTGTGCTGAAAATATATTTTCAGAACAAGCATCTGGATAGAAATATCTGTAAGTTCCATCTTATTAATAATTAAAATATATTATATTAATAATTAATAACGATAAATTAAAATTATTTTAAGTCGTATATATTAAAACTAGTATAAATAATGCATAAACTGAGTGATATCACGTTAATGATTTGAGCAAATGTAATAATTGATAATTTATCGATCAATGAAAAGGATGAATAAAGGATGCTGAATAGTCTGGTATTTTAGTAACCATACTTCATCGTAATTGAATATATGAGCGCTAAGTTTTGGTCTATGGTAGATTTATCACACAGTATTGACTCAAAGATGGATGAACACTGGTTATTTATTGTAAAAACGGCAATAAATAAGCAGTATTTATCAATCATTTCTTCTGCTTAATAGTATGTGATAAGTCCTCCATACAGCCAGAACTTAGTGTTCACATATTCAATTATAGCAATATAAGGAGATAAAACACATCACCAATACTTCATCCTGTTCAAACAACATATGGAGTGAAAGCACGGTTCAAATAGCAACGAAATTTAAGAATTTATTTATAATCTACTGTACTTAAAATGCTATATGCTGAAAATAATTTAAATCTATTATGTTTTCGTAATTTATAAAGTCTTTTTCTAAATTTAGATGTCTCTAAATAAAACACTAAACAACTTTTCTGAATAAGAAATATCGGTCAAGTGAATTATCTAGGATTTTAGAACATTAAAATATATTATCATATATCAACGTCTCATTATTTATTTTCAAGCATTTATAAAATTATTTATAACATTTCTCGATTACTTTCTTAATTATGAATTAAATTAAAGTTTCTGAAGAGATTTCCATCCTCGTTAAAAAGGGAATATTTTTATTTAAATTTACATTTTTATCAAAAATTTTTGTTTTGAAAGCTAAACAACAAGATTTGAATCTATACAAGTGGATGAAAGCTAAAACTTTAAAAGTAATTTATCATAAAAACTGTATATAAAAAGTTTCTTTTAATAAAAATTTTATTCATCTATAAATTTTAATAAATATGTTATATAACTGGTGTACACTTTTCTGCTTGGTCTATGATTTCTGCCATGCGTGAAGCCATTAAAGAGAATCTAAGAGGAGTTTCGCAACTTCAGGTTTCCTAGTTAGAAAGTAAAGAGTGATGAATTGTAAACGAAGTGAAAAGGAGTCACCAAGTGGAAAGTAGTTCGATAACCTTTCTTTTCTCCACATCCTTTCGTAACTGTTAAATTCTAACATTAATATTTTACACAGAACTTAACAAAGTTTACTTCATAAAGAAAAAATATAGAATAAAAAATAGGTTGTATGACCTTTATTAATTATTTAACACGACTGAAAAACGGGTAAAGTTTCATTTCAGTCTATATTTTTAGATTTTCCCAGAAAGATCGTCATTGAACATCATTAAAACAGCATAAAAATACCTCTCTAATTTGTTTTATATATTTAACAGTAATATTATATGCAATTGCCAGGGCCCCCTGTTAGTGAGAGCCCTAAACCAACCTTTTATAAGAAAATATTTCTAAAAACATTACCCCGAAGAAAAATGTATGAAGTCAACACTGTACGCGGGGCCTCCTAATTTAAATCTGCCTTGGCCCCATAAAACTATAACGCGCCACTGTTTTATCCACTTCTAATTAAGATAGAATGCTGAAACTTCGAAAACATGTCTAAATCTAATGACTGCATTTTAGAGAAAGTCCCACCTCCACAATCTTCTCCAATCCGAAACATAACCAAATATAGAATTTAATCATATTTATGTGTCAATATATTGTAGTGATTATAGTTATAAGCTTCTTGCCTGTATAAAGTTTATTTAATAATTATCTCAATTAACCAGTTGGTAGAGATATGAGGCTTATCAAACTGCAATGGAGCTAAATAATCGAGATTTTAAGACTTTCATTTGTGGAATGCATTTCGGTTCTCACTAGACTTTCCTCGGCCACAACTATATAAATACAGATAACTGCAATATTTAACACAATATTTACAGGTTACATGGTTCACTGTAACTGTTCGTATTTCCATTCGATTACAGTTTCTACTCGCAGTTCAAACAGACAATTCTTCATGTGACACTGTGTGATGTATTTGATGTGGGTGGCAATAACTCCATCCCATCCCCAACCTCAAACATAACCAAAAGCGTTTATAATTTTCTTTTTAATATATTAAAATTTTGATCAACCGAAACAATTTTTTCAACTTTTTCCTCTTACACTCCCACATCATAAAATGACAAATTATTATTCGCAATACTTTCAAGTCATTATCTTCTCATCACTTTCTGGTCTTTTTCCTTTTATAATAAGTGAATGAAATAGTAGTGTTATATTCAACATGACCCAAAACTTACGAAATTGATTTCTTATTCTTCTAATAATAAAATGAGGGGCTGATAAATATTAGATGGTGGCACCATTCACTTAATAAAAAGAAATGCCGATAGAAAAGGAAACATGCCAGCAATAAAAATTGATAAAGACATTTTATGATTTATTTCCTTAATATTTTGTTAACTAGAAAATCTATAGAAATAAATTTGTTGTATACATACGAGGAAGATTTAACGACATTATCAATTTAATTATTTACAGAGTGGGAGAATTNCAAGAATAAAGGATATAAATTTCTCAATGTTTGGCTTAAGGATGGATTACTAACGAGGTATATTATTAATATTTACAATCATTTTATATTATTCTCATTAATCTATTTTTTAGAAATTTTAAATTTTTCTTATTATTATTTCAGTTCGGGAGCGAAATGGCGAGCAAGAAGAAAACTTCTTACTCCTTCTTTTCACTTCAAAATTCTAGAAGATTTTTTTCCTATTTTTAATGATCATTGCTCGATCATGTTGGATATAATGATGCGTTCAACTGATAAAGACTGGGTCGATATAGTTCCCATTATAACGAAGTGTAATCTTGATATCAACTGTGGTCTGTATTAAGTCCTAATAATTATTCTACTAATTTTACACCAGCTAAAAATTGATTTCTCTGTCAAAAACATTGCAGAAACGGCAATGGGAATAAAACTGAATTCACAGATTAGTGAAGACAGAGGTTACAGAAGACACTTAGAAAGGTGTGTAGTTTATTTTATTACAAACTTGCTTTGTATCATGTCCGTTCTCGAATCTTGCAACTCGCATTCCATGAGCAAAAAGAGTAATTTCCTGGGATCCCCTGCTGCTGGGGTCCCCAACCAATATTTTATAAGAAAATATTTCTAAAAACATTACCCCGAAGAAAAATGTATGAAGTCAACACTGTACGCGGGGCCTCCTAATTTAAATCTGCCTTGGCCCCATAAAACTATAACGCGCCACTGTTTTATCCACTTCTAATTAAGATAGAATGCTGAAACTTCGAAAACATGTCTAAATCTAATGACTGCATTTTAGAGAAAGTCCCACCTCCACAATCTTCTCCAATCCGAAACATAACCAAATATAGAATTTAATCATATTTATGTGTCAATATATTGTAGTGATTATAGTTATAAGCTTCTTGCCTGTATAAAGTTTATTTAATAATTATCTCAATTAACCAGTTGGTAGAGATATGAGGCTTATCAAACTGCAATGGAGCTAAATAATCGAGATTTTAAGACTTTCATTTGTGGAATGCATTTCGGTTCTCACTAGACTTTCCTCGGCCACAACTATATAAATACAGATAACTGCAATATTTAACACAATATTTACAGGTTACATGGTTCACTGTAACTGTTCGTATTTCCATTCGATTACAGTTTCTACTCGCAGTTCAAACAGACAATTCTTCATGTGACACTGTGTGATGTATTTGATGTGGGTGGCAATAACTCCATCCCATCCCCAACCTCAAACATAACCAAAAGCGTTTATAATTTTCTTTTTAATATATTAAAATTTTGATCAACCGAAACAATTTTTTCAACTTTTTCCTCTTACACTCCCACATCATAAAATGACAAATTATTATTCGCAATACTTTCAAGTCATTATCTTCTCATCACTTTCTGGTCTTTTTCCTTTTATAATAAGTGAATGAAATAGTAGTGTTATATTCAACATGACCCAAAACTTACGAAATTGATTTCTTATTCTTATTATTATTTCAGTTCGGGAGCGAAATGGCGAGCAAGAAGAAAACTTCTTACTCCTTCTTTTCACTTCAAAATTCTAGAAGATTTTTTTCCTATTTTTAATGATCATTGCTCGATCATGTTGGATATAATGATGCGTTCAACTGATAAAGACTGGGTCGATATAGTTCCCATTATAACGAAGTGTAATCTTGATATCAACTGTGGTCTGTATTAAGTCCTAATAATTATTCTACTAATTTTACACCAGCTAAAAATTGATTTCTCTGTCAAAAACATTGCAGAAACGGCAATGGGAATAAAACTGAATTCACAGATTAGTGAAGACAGAGGTTACAGAAGACACTTAGAAAGGTGTGTAGTTTATTTTATTACAAACTTGCTTTGTATCATGTCCGTTCTCGAATCTTGCAACTCGCATTCCATGAGCAAAAAGAGTAATTTCCTGGGATCCCCTGCTGCTGGGGTCCCCAACCAATATTTTATAAGAAAATATTTCTAAAAACATTACCCCGAAGAAAAATGTATGAAGTCAACACTGTACGCGGGGCCTCCTAATTTAAATCTGCCTTGGCCCCATAAAACTATAACGCGCCACTGTTTTATCCACTTTTAATTAAGATAGAATGCTGAAACTTCGAAAACATGTCTAAATCTAATGACTTTATTTTAGAGAAAGTCCCACCTCCACAATCTTCTCCAATCCGAAACATAACCAAATATAGAATTTAATCATATTTATGTGTCAATATATTGTAGTGATTATAGTTATAAGCTTCTTGCCTGTATAAAGTTTATTTAATAATTATCTCAATTAACCAGTTGGTAGAGATATGAGGCTTATCAAACTGCAATGGAGCTAAATAATCGAGATTTTAAGACTTTCATTTGTGGAATGCATTTCGGTTCTCACTAGACTTTCCTCGGCCACAACTATATAAATACAGATAACTGCAATATTTAACACAATATTTACAGGTTACATGGTTCACTGTAACTGTTCGTATTTCCATTCGATTACAGTTTCTACTCGCAGTTCAAACAGACAATTCTTCATGTGACACTGTGTGATGTATTTGATGTGGGTGGCAATAACTCCATCCCATCCCCAACCTCAAACATAACCAAAAGCGTTTATAATTTTCTTTTTAATATATTAAAATTTTGATCAACCGAAACAATTTTTTCAACTTTTTCCTCTTACACTCCCACATCATAAAATGACAAATTATTATTCGCAATACTTTCAAGTCATTATCTTCTCATCACTTTCTGGTCTTTTTCCTTTTATAATAAGTGAATGAAATAGTAGTGTTATATTCAACATGACCCAAAACTTACGAAATTGATTTCTTATTCTTCTAATAATAAAATGAGGGGCTGATAAATATTAGATGGTGGCACCATTCACTTAATAAAAAGAAATGCCGATAGAAAAGGAAACATGCCAGCAATAAAAATTGATAAAGACATTTTATGATTTATTTCCTTAATATTTTGTTAACTAGAAAATCTATAGAAATAAATCTGTTGTATACATACGAGGAAGATTTAACGACATTATCAATTTAATTATTTACAGAGTGGGAGAATTGTTTTTATCTAGAGCTGTTAAACCTTGGCTTTGGTTCGACTCTCTCTTCTTTTGTACAGAAATTGGTAGACATTTTTTACATCATGCGGAAGGGCTTCGAATATTTGGACAACAGGTAAAAGTATTAATCATTTTTTAAAATTAATTTAAAATAAACTAACGCATAAATTGAATTTAAAAATTAAAAAAAATTTCAGGTATTTGCTGAAAGGAAGCAACAATTTTTATTAAGAATGCAAAATGAAAGTTGTGACCATAACGATAATACTATAACGAATGGAATTAGAAAAAGGAAAGCATTTATGGATCTACTTCTTCATCATTATTTTGAAGACCATAGTTTATCAGAAGAGGATATTTTAAACGAAATTAATCTTTTTATGTTTGCTGTCAGTATTTTATTATACTTTTTTCGTTCGCGTAAACATTTAGGTCACCACGAATTGTATTTATATCAATAGGGTCATGACACCACTTCATTTAACCTGTGTTGGACCTTGTATCTTATCGGTCTTCATCAAGATGTACAAAAGAAGTTACATGACGAAGTGGACTCATTCTTTGGGGAGGAAATGGACACTCCTGTATTACCTGAACACTTAAAGCATTTTAAATATTTAGATTGCGTGATTAAAGAAAGTCTTTTTTAAAGTTTATTTTTTAATTATATTTTTATTTAAATTATATATACTGTGTAAAGTGTAAAGTATTGATCATTTTCATTATAATTTTAGGAGGTTTTACGGCTTTATCCAAGCATACCTTTCATAGGAAGAGATTTGTTAGAAGATGTCCGTGTTGGTGAGTTTATACTGTTAAAAACTTATTTTATTTAATATAAAATCGTAAAACACTTGTTATAATAATGTTTATAAATATTTTTATAAATAATGAATAACTGCATGAAAATAAATATGAGATGCTGTTAAAATAAAGTGAAAATTTATGTGTAGAAATTTTAATTGTATATGAAATATTATGAAGATGATCAATGGGAACATAGTGAATGCATTAAATTTTTTCAGTAGAAATAATAATTTTACAATTACTAATAAGTATCAATAGTGACATAGCGATATCTCTCTATTGATAATACTGTATATGACAATGTAAAGTAAACTGTGAGATAGTATTCACATTTTACTTTGTTACAAGTAATTTTATAGCGATTCATTCATGAAATTTTTAATTGTATAATAAGGAAGCATTACTTAAACAGAACTCGATGATAACCCTTCTTATAATCATTAATATTTTGCACTGAACATTGATAACTGGTCTTGGGTCCGCGCCACATGAACAGAATAGCTACGTGCTTTTCTTCACGTAACTAACACTTAAATAGGGAGCAGTTTCACATAGAAAATCCTACCGGAAGGCATTCTTCTCACTTACATTTCCGTATACAAACAAACAAACAAACATTAAAATTTGGCAATTTTTAAAACCAATATTTCTCTGATAGATATAAAATAAATAAAAAATAATAGATTTTAAAAACGAAAACAAGGCTGCAGACATACAGCTTAATACTAAACGAAATTATTTAAAGTGTTTATACGATTTTGATGGAATTCTTATCCAGATAATGACATTTGAACTTAGAATCGTTCTAAGTTTTATATGCAGAGAAAAATTGAAAGCATCAAAGTAAATGGTTATTTCTGCTTCCAGGTGATTATCTCATACCAAAAGGAACATCTTGCATCTTCTTCTTATACGAATTGCATAGAGATCCCGAAGTCTTTCCGAATCCTGAAGTATTTGATCCCAACAGATTTTCGCCAGAAAATTCTCACAACAGAAATCCGTTTGCCTATATACCATTTTCAGCAGGACCAAGAAATTGTATAGGTAAGGATCGTATATAAACTTTTATTACTACCTCAATTCACAATAATAATTATTCATTAATATTTTTAGGTCAGAAATATGCCCAGGTTCTAGTTAAAGTAATACTTATCCAGATATTGCGAAAATTTAATTTGATCTCCTTGGATCCTCGAGATCGCATCCCTGTTGGAGGTGAGATAGTACTTCGACCTAAAGTTCCACTCAGATTGAAAATCACTCCAAGAAAAATTGTATATTAATTTATGAAATATGTATAATAGTTGCTTGCTATATAAAAAATATAAAACAATTATTTAGAAACTAAATTTATTTAAAATATTATCTTTACTTCGAAAAACTTTATTTAAATTTTCTAAATGTTTCTCGACTTATTATTTTATTGTGGACAAATATTTTCCTGATTTAGTCCATAAATCTTCTGAATTTATTTCATTGACCTATATTTAAAGATTTGTTTATAATGGTAAAATAAAGTACATTTTTAAACTAATTTATCTCATTTTTATTTACTTTCTCCGCAAATTACACATTTGATATCTAATTAATACACAGTAAAACAGTAAATATATAACTTTAACTAAATATATTCGTAGGAAAGAAGCGATTTTCTGTGTTTAAAAAAAAACCCTGTTTAAAACGGAACCTGCCAAACCGGAAAAATATTCGGTCCCGTAAGAATCAGGTTTACGCAGGTTTTACTACCTGCGTAACCTGATTCTTATATAGATTATATAATTAATTAATAATATATAGCAAAACCTGTCCAAAGCGGAAACCTTCCAAACAGAAAAAATATTCGGTACAGTGCAGTTCAGGTTTACGCAGGTTTTACTATAATTATTTTTGGGTTATATTTTGGAGATAAAACTTTAAAAAGATTGAATTTTATTTAATACAGTAAAACCTGTGTAAAACGGACTCATGCGATACCGAATATTTTTCCGGCTTGGCAGGTTTCCGTTTTGCGCAGGTTTTTTGTTAACATATAAAATCGCTGGGCTTCGAAGATCTTTTTCCATTGCGCAGGTTTTCGTTGTACTCAGGTTCCGTTTTGGACAGGTTTTACTGTATTTTATTTCTTCTTACGCAGATTTGATTATTAGTAAGCAAATTATTCTCCCCTAAACCATGTGAAAATGTCTGAAAAAAAAAACATAAAATATTCAGAACAGATAGTTTAGAATTTATTACTTATATATAATTAACTTTGACAATAATTTAATTTATTTATTTTTAACTTTAAGATAATACTTTAACGATAAAATTATTAAAATAAAATAGTGTGAAGTTAAGTAATCACAAGCCAATCTTTAAAGTTAAGTTATTTTATCCACATTTTACAATATTTTAAATCATAAATGAGAGTTAANATAAAGCAAAACTGAGAAACATTAAATAACAATAATAACTTATAATGAAACTCTGTCATGCTCATAATTGTTCATGTCTTATATGTTTTAAGATTTAAAACTTAATAGCACAGAAATATGATGGTCACTCCATCTGTTGAGAATAAGCTAAACTAATAGAAATTTTATCAAATTTTACAGTAATTACGACACAGCACTGATCTCTGCTTACAAATAACACTGTCAATATCGTCAACTGTATAGAGTAAAATATATCAGAAAAATATGTGAAAATTTAGATATTTAGCAATTCCATTGGCATCTAATCGAACTAACTGGAATTTCCAAATATTGTATGCTTAGAGTATTGAAAAATTCTCTCGGGCAAAAAAAAAAGTTGTATAAGTTTGGAATTAGTAGTTTTTAATCAAAAAGTGTTTAGGAGTTGACGATGAAAAATGCATTACTAGAATCTTTCAGAAATGTGCCCAGTGGCTTACCTTCTTCAACGATCCTCATACATATATTTGAATACATAGATCTATGTATTAAAATGTATGTATCAGGAATCTTAGTTATGTAGGACCGTGCAATGTGCTTAAACTGAGTTGAGTTGAGCTGGTTAAAAAAACATATTCTGCGCCCCTATTTTTTCAGAAACACTGTAAATCAGAGCGGATGCACATCCGTAATACAAAGATTCTGTAGCTTTGCTGCTCGCTGCTGTATATCTAAGCTATGTACTGTACAGTACATCTTGCAGGTATAATTCTACCAAACGAGCTCATCCACAACTCATAATTTTGACGGTCGGCTCAGCTGTCAGCTGGAGGTCCAAAATCACAGATCGGATCACATCTCAACTTAGCTCTGGTCCATATTTGGAGTTTTTCATAATTCGACGTAGTCTCAGTCTCGTTCACTTCGAAATTTATTTATAGTTCAATTGCTTAATGCTTAAGTAATTTTTTTAATGTTCTCATTTTAATAAGATATAAATGAAGACATGTCTTTCATCATAACGTATGTTACAGATGCAACTTAATTTTAAAAAATGGGATTTGCCGCAACATATCTAGAACAATCAAACCATATAGTGGTAGGAAAAATTTAATGTCCTACGAGTATATAGTTTGCAAAATTGCTAAATTTTTTCGCTTTAATCAGATAAAATGACAGAATTTTGTGAGTTTTTAAAATGAGTTATATTGCAGCTTAAGGGCATTTATATTTGCTCATCATTGATCTATATTCGATATGCATTTTTCCAAATATTCGGTTTTTGGTTCAGTTTAATTATTTCAGGCGTGGATTTCATTGCATGATTTCAAGTTTTGTGAATGTCATTACCATCGATTTTAAAGCAAAATATTGCAAAATAGAGCAATAACAATTTCCAAACATCTTAATATTTGAAGCAAACATTGATTAATAGTAATTTTTCTGTAATTATTAGTATTTTAGAATTAAATTTCCAAATTATCAACAGTACATTACGAGTATAAATATTTTAGAACAAGATTACTAAATAATTTTGAAGTTTATTAGCGTTACTAACTGTAACTGAACGATGTTTGATAACCCAAATAGTTAGTTACTACACTCATAAAAATTCAGGGCATTATATTTTATTTTAGACGTGATGGCACGTAATTACCATATTTTCCTTTCGTGTGACATGGAATAGTCAATCAACTTACATAATTCTTTATATATAGGAAATAGAAAATAATAAAAAAATTATTATTACTGATTTATGAATGTTTATTATTTTATTTATAATTATTATTATAATGAATGTTATTTTATAGAAATAACATTCATTTGATAATATATAAATTTGGAATTTATAATATCCACTTTTTACTTAAAAGCATAAGCTACACATGCTAATAATAAAATGTTTTAATATTAGCCAACATTAGCATAACCATCAAAAGAGTTATTAAATAAAAAGGTTGCTGATAAAGATATTGGTGGTAGCAGCTTGACAAATGTCATTTATTTCAACTAATTTTCTTTTAATTTGTGTTTATGAATCCTATAAACGAATTTTCTTTGCAAGGTATGTAACAAGTTCGTCATTAGATGCAGACTCATCCTGTATTTCTACTCAGGCAATATTTTGGTAGGTACAATGGCATTTTCGAGCTCATTGCCCACCTATAAAACTTATTAATGATGTAAATATATTTCTTAATGATGATTAATTTTCAAAAGATATAATGCTAATGTAAACCGCAATATAAACAAATGGGCTCATTTTCACTAAATTTCCGGCTATGGAAGCAGGGTAGATTTTTTGCTATTTGAGTGATACTAACAAAAATAGACATTTGATAACAGGAATTTACACGAGTCCTAATAGACATATTTCTTCACCATTCAGTCTCAACTGGAATGTTATAAAACATGCTGACTGAGAATCTTACAAGTATCGCCTCAGAACGTTAAACTTGAAATTGGTTTCCTATATCCTATTTCCACATGATTGCCATTATCTTGCTGAAATTCATATCGTTTATTCAGTACATTGATTCCATTTAACAATAAGCTTGGAAAGTCGCTTGATGAGATACGCGTCGCTAAATTTAAACTGTCCGTTTATGGAATTGATATATATATATATATATAAAGTATACCAGAAAAGTATTAATGTTAGGCATAAACTATTAAGTGGTTATTTTATCTTAGCCGTATTTTGATCAGGTTTTAAATTAATCAGTTTATTAGATGTGCCAGTTCTATAATGGTCAAATTCTTTTGACACTTGATAACCAAATTTGACAGGCTTTTGTAAAAATAAAAATTTTTTTCAGCGTACACTTTTCACATTTCTCTTTTCCTCTAAGAATATTTTTTATTATAACAAGTTTTTATAAGGTCTAATCTAAATAAGCGATGTTCTGAGCGCTTATCGTATAATAGTGAGAATAAATATATAAATTATAATAAGTTTATCATTTTAATTATTAAATTCCATTACTTCATAATCAAATGTTGCTGCCAAAAGGTTTTTCTTTCCACAATATTTTTTTAAAAGATGATTTAATTAATATTTCAATCTTCTCTCTGCGAGGAAAAATTTTTGTTTAACAAAGGATTAATTAATCACATCGTATATTAATATGTTGATAGAAGCAAGCATAAGTCTAAGAATTACAACTGACAACATGCTATTGACAAAAAATCCAGTTGTAAGTTTATAATTACTAAATTACTATAAATATTTTCAGGAACGATTAGACGACGATTATATATATATATATAACTGATATTTATATCATGCAATTTTCTGCCATTTTTATTATGAAAATTTTTAATGTATTTGGGTACGCAGCATGTTATGAATTTAAATTATCCTTCGGTATAAATACCGATACGACATAGCATCGCATGCGTATGATATGACATCAATCTTTGAGATTTTACATGGCATAGTTTAGCGTCATAAGAATGAAATTTACAAAACAGAAATAAAAACACAATTTTTTGGCCCACTTAATATTACAAAAATAACGTTGCTTCTTTGATCTCTATTGCTCATTCAAGAGGAAATACGGCCATTTACCGTAATGATGAACCGTACAAAAATGGACTAGAATAACAATATGATATGAATATTCTCTCGTATTCCTACGAGTAAAAATAAATAGAACGAAGATAAAAAACTGTGAAATGTTGAAATCTATTATATTTATCATTTGTTTATATTGCACGTAAGTCATAAATAATAAACATTTTCAGAATTTAAAAAGAAAAATATATTATTAAGTTGTATTTATTTTCTACTTAACGGACATTTTTACATTCCCCAGACCATTCATATAGGACCTCCATTATATTTACCTCTAAACAGCGGACAAACTTCTCGCTCCCGA